TTTCTGAGCAAATCCAACAGTTTCCTTAAAAAACTCAATTTGCAGTTAAACTTTTCTGCTATACATTTTAACCTGTGTGCATATTTTCTGTTATAACTTTCTCAAAGCAAACCCAGAATGTATTGTGTATTTCGATGGTTTTACAATTTTCATTGTTATTACAAGGTATATCTGGTTTCACTGGATGGTTTTACTACTCTTTCTCAAAAACTTTTCTCTAAATTGTTTATAGAATCATGATCAGTTATGTGCAAAGATTGCCACCTGTCATTATGGTTAATCTTTTAATAAATGATTATTTTGTAATTATTAAGAATTCGTCGAGTTTGTTTGACAAGGTTCTAACTGAAATTTTTTATACTAGGAGAATTTACAAAATAATCTTTAAACTTTTTTTTAATGTTTTATTAAAACTATTTATATTATTGTTTTTTTTTTATTTGTATATATATCTATATTTTTAAATGATGTATAAAAATACATAAATAAACAAAAAATAATCACATAAATATTTTTGTTTAGACATTAAAAAAAAAAAAAAAAAGATTTATTTGCTATTCTTCTAATATAAAAAAAATCAGTTCAAACCTTGTCCAACCAACGCGACGAACTGGGACGGAACTGTTGAAGTTTGAACAACCTTTGGATGAATAAAACTGAATACAATAGAAAAAGATTGGAAAGGTCTGTCAAATTGTTCATATTTCAAGAAGTTTCAGCATAATAAAAACTTTTTTTGAATTTAGATAAAGTATAGACATTGTGCAGTAGCGTAGGCAGGATTTTTGATGTTTCAGATAAAAAACTTTTAGACTATGTGCAAACTAAAGTTTGCTCATGCTTATGTCAAATAAGAATATTTAGAAAAAAAATGCCGAGAAGGAAGCCTAAGAAAAAAAATATCCAAAAAAGTTTGTTTCTCTACTCCGAATGTGAGGGCGATAAGTTAATAAAGTATATACTTTTTGCATACTAAACTAAACCTAAATTCATCAACAGGTTTTAAATTTTATTCAAAACCTGTTTTATTTAAAATCTGTTGATAAATTTCATTTTTTAATAATCTTTTAGAGTTCCTTTTTGAAATAAATATCATATCGGAAACATTAAAATTTTATTAACATTAGTCCCAACGCTATTGGTATAATGTGTACTAAATGAGGAGATAAAAAGGACAGTTATTTATTATTCACTTGCATTAAAAATAGTGTTTATATGACACAAAAGCAACTAGATCTAGTAAAGTAAAAATAATACCTTCTTTTATTGATTTATGTAATAAAAACATGGGTGTTGTTGATCAATGTGGTCAAATGCTCACAACTTTTAATTCAAAACATAATGGTGTTATTTTTTTTTATATTATTATTTTTTTTTTTTATTCAACCATGTCAATAAAATTTACAAATTTCATCGTAAATTAATATAAATTGGTTAGGTGTCACTCATATAGTTACAAACTAGTCAATGGAAAGACACCTAAAAACATAAAAGTTTAACGAAAAAATAAATAAATAGAAAAAAAAAAAAAAGAAACAAAAGCAAACAAAAAAAACAACAAAAAAACAAAAAAAATAAAAGGAAAAACTCAACATCTGTATATATAAATAAGAGAGAAAAGAAGAAAAGATTGTTAAACAAATAATAATTAAATATATGTAATAATAATAGTAATAATACAAAATAATAACAATAATAATAAAGTACCAATAATATTAAGAATATTATAATACAATATAAAGTGTATGTACAAATCATAGATGATAATTAGATATATTGATAACATAAAATGCAACATTAATAACACAATAATAAATAAATATAAGATAGGTAAATAATAAATAAAGTAAAAAACAAACCACTTGTTCGTTAAAGAGATTATATATTGAAGACAACTACAGTACAGAGAGAAATTATAAAGAAATACACTCCAACAATATATTTTTAAATTGAATTCTGTTGAGCAGTAAAAAGTTCGTAACAAGTAGATATTTTTCTTAGACTTTTTTATTAATGCAGGAATACACTGGTTCCATTAAGAAATACATTGTTGTTTTATAGAAAACTTACCATATTTGATTGTGTTGAAAAAAGAATAGTATAGCTTACTATTTTCTGTATTCCTGGTGTGATGATTATGAACTTTGTTTGTTTTAATAAAAAAATTTGAAAAAGGGCTTGGTAGTTTGTTTTGGAGAAAGTCGAACACAAAAAGACAATTGTAAAACTTTACAAGATTATGGAGTTTTAGGATTTTTAGTTTTTAGTAGAAAATTTTTTTTCGATATCAGATCTCATTTGGAAAAACGTCATTATTCTAATAGATGCGCGTTGTAAACTAGCAATGTTATTAAGTAAAAAGTTTCTTTTTTGACCCCAAATAATGCAACAATAGCAAAGGTGAGAAGAGAATAAAGAAAAATAAATCATTCAAAGAGTTTGGATAGGAACATAGTAACGAATTAGAGATAGCATACTGTTAGCTCGTGTAAGTTTTTTTTTTAGATGATACAGTTGATTATACCAAGATTATACCAAGGTTTTCATCAAGATATATTCCAAGATACTTTATATATTTTGATGGAAAAAGTTTTTTACCGTTAATTTTAATTTTAATATGATCAATAGTTTTTTGTTGGAATGAAAAATAATGTATTCAGTTTTATTGACATTCAAGGAAATACGGTTACTATTTAACCAGTTACATTAGCGATGAAGATCTTGATTAACTTTTTTACAAAGAGTTGTGAGGGATTTGTTGATATATAAAAGATTGGTATCGTCAGCATAATGATGTTTCATAGAATTTTTTAGCGAACAAGATAAATCATTTATATATAATAAGAACAACAACGGTCCAAGAACGGAACCTTGTGGAACGCCATATTTAATAACTTTATGTGTGGATTCAAATCCATTAATTGAAACAAACTGAGTGCGATCCGTAATATATGAAGAAAACCAATGATTAGCAGTACCACGTATTCCGTAGTAGTTTAACTTTTTTATTAGAATATTGTGATCAACCGTATCAAAAGCTTTTTGAAAATCTATGAATACACCACAAGCAAAAGAACCACTGTCAATTGCACCACGAATCATTTCAGTAATGCTAATAAGAGCGTGAGAAGTGGAGTGATTTGAGCGAAACCCAAATTGTCGAATATAAAAACAAGCAGAATTATTCAAAAAGTTGTAAATACAAGAATACATAAGTTTTTCTAAAAGTTTGCTGACATTTGATAATAATGAAATTGGTCTGTAGTTATTACATTCAAGTTTTGAGTCTTTTTTATGAATTGGGATAACAGAAGAAGTTTTTAAAATATCAGGGAATACACCAGTTGTGAATGACAGATTAAATAGTTTAGAAAGTACAGGAGAGATATCATTTGCAAGAGCGTTAAAAATAGGTATTGGAATGCTGTTAGGTCCCGAAGCCTTGCTGTCATTAAGAGAATGAATAATTGATAATACTTCGTTTTTGTCTGTAGGTTTTATGAACATTGAATTAAGATTAGGATTTTTAAGATATTTATTAAAGTTAGAATTGGATGAGTGGATCTTATTCTGTAAATCTTTCGGAACTGAAACAAAAAATGAATTAAAAGATGCCGAAATTTTAATGGGGTCGTATATCATGGAGTTGGTAGAAGATAAGCATGAAGGAGATGAGTTAACTCTGGAACTAATGTTTAAAAGGTTCTTAATACCATCCCATATAGATTTCAAATTTTTGGCATTGTCAGAGAAGAACTTAGAGTAATGGCTCTTTTTACTACGACGGGTAAGAGTAGCAAGTAAGTTTCTATTTGTTTTATAAGATTTTTCTAGATTGAGTTTATTATTAGGATTCTTTGCTTTAAGAAATTTGTTAAATATTTTATTTCGCATTTTAATAGAAGTCAAGATTCCTCGTGTTATCCAAGGTTTTTATAAATTATTTTTTATAAAACTAAAAGTTGAAAAAAATACATTATACATTTAATAAAAACTGTTCATAACGCTTACTGTATAACAAAAATGTTTGAGTTTACAAAAACATCAAATTTATTTCGCCATGGTATTATTGATTATATATTTTCAAGTTAAGTTACTCAAAGCAGCAACTTAAATTTAAAAGGTTGTTCAGCTATTAATGCTAATGCAGTGAGACTAGGTAAAAGTCCATTTTTATCAATAATACCTTGCAATCCAATTAAGTCAAATCCATCATGATGAAGTGTAGTATCTAGTGCAAACAAAGTTAGAACTGAGACTAGATTCATGTGTTTTGATTGTGATGTTGGTATTAATTTTTGTATTAAATATAGTAAAGTAAGTATCAACATACTTCCAAAGACTTAGGGTTAAATGTTTTATGATCCATATTAGTCTATTGAAAGATTGTAAAAATGTTGTCAAATTTTCTTTTTGTGACTTGTAGTTAAAAAGTTTGCTCACTTGAATAAAAAAATGTTTCAAAAATGATAAGTGAAAAAAATTTCACTAGGGAAGAGCAGCCGCAAAAAAAAGTGTTTAAGGTTTAAATTTTATGTAACCAACAACCTTACTCTTGAAAACTTTATTAAATTTAGTTAAAATATAAATGAAACGTAATCTTTTACTACAAAGCAATGCAACATATAAATTATCTATAATAGTAAATAAATATATAAAGTATCGTACCACTCATCATCTAAGCTATGTAACATCGTGAACTTAAATTATTAAGTTCATTTCAGTTTAAAACAATAACCATACGATTTACTAACAAAAGATATTATATTTAAACTTTGTTATAACTCATAAGTGCCTAATGAAAAAATTAGGATGGTATTTGGCCGTCCTTATCATTTTTTAGACCCTGTCTATTTATTATTTAAAAACTTATACTTAAATTATATTTTACTTTAATTTATCCTATATTTAAACAGTAAAATAAAAAATATAAATTATAACGATATATTAAGTATATAAAAAAATAATATTGGGAACAACGCGTTAGTAAAATAAAGCTATTTCAAAATAATTTAACAAAATTATAAGTATATATTACAAATCATTGATTAACTGTAAAGAAATCCTTAAATATTGGAATATCTCTGTTTTTAACGCAAGGAAAATTATAGTAATCCTCTATTCTCAACATTGAATGACGCCGAAACACTTCTGTTTCTTCAATATCTGTTGGATCAAATACCCCAAGTTCAGGTTTAGTTTTAGAAATATGAAATGGTAAACACAATTTATTTGTTTCTAAATTATTGATCGAGTGTGAAGATTGACATGGACTGTTTTTGAAACTGATGCGATCGGTTTGGTTATCATAGTGCGGTTCATCCATGCTATTTAAGCTTTTGCTTCTTTGCGAGCAACGAGACGCAGACAATTTTTTGAAGTTATCGTCTTCTTTTAAAAAATTTAATTCTCTACAGCTATTGCACTCGTTCGAATGGTAAGGATTTTCTACGGATACACATATTTTTGGTAAACTATCTGTAAAATATTCATCATTTGAAAATGTTTTATTAATTGAGTTTGAGGGACTCGTATCAGCGTGTGACAATCCGTTCATTGTTTCTTTTCTGGTCTGGTCTGGTCGGGACTGGTCACTTTTTTCGTCATACTTTTCTGTATCAGAGTTTCTTTTATCTGTTAATTTATTTGACAAAACCGTCGTTGTTTTTTCATTTATTTTCTCACAGCTCTCTTGATAAACGTTACTTTCAAATGTAGAAGTTCGATTTTTTTCTACAAGGTCCGAATCTGAAACCTGTTTTACAAAAGTATATTTTTTATCACATATGACATTTTTTTGGCCCGAGTTTGGTTTTTGTTCAGTTAAACTTTGAAGGCTCAAAGTAAATGCTGTATCAGTGCTTCCAAGATGGTCACTAGTTATTCTTTCAAAAGCAAACTTCCGTTTCATTTGCATATCTATAAATTGCGGCGAAGAGTTATTTTCTTTCCTTCGTATTGCATTATTATTCAATCGATCAATACCTTGTCTCTTGATAGTTCGACGATCTCTATCTCTCGATGATAAAGACAATGGTTGTCTTAGCAAGCCTCGGAGATTTCCTTCTAACAAACGTCGATTCTTTTGAGGCAAATTCATTCGAGCTTTAACATGAGCATAGTACACACTAAAATTACTTCCAATTATGGAGATTGGTAGAGCCACTATAAGCACTCCAATTACAGCACAGATTGATCCGAATATTTTGCCTAACCACGTGACTGGAACAATATCGCCGTATCCAATTGTGGTCATTGTAATTACACACCACCAGAACGCAGTTGGTATTGATGTGAATTGATTTTTAGTGCTGTTTCCGTGAATATTTATTTCAACAGCATATACAAGACTTGAAAAAATAATGACCGGAATAAGTAGCAAAAAAAAAAGTAGAGTAAGCTCGTGTGAACTGGACTTTAGTGTTTTCATAAAAACTTGCAGACCATACGAAAGTTTAAAATACTTTATTACTCTTAATAAGCGAATTATTACCAGGTTTTCGATTAGCTGAGGATAAAATTGAGGAAATATCAGCGAACAGTACGGCGGAATAATCGATGCAAAATCTAACCAACTTACGTAGTTTTTAAAAAAAACTTTTTTTTGGGGACAAACAATAACACGTATTAATAGTTCAAATGTAAAAAATATCAGGCATATATACTCAATACTGTCTAGTATCTTCTTTATAACTTTATTCTGTTTGAAAATTGCTTCTGTACTAATGCAATATGCAGCTATTGAAACACAAATCATCATACACGAAAGATAAGAGAACTTCTAAAAAATAATAATTCTTTTTATGTATACAGAAAGTTACTCTCCAAAAAAATTGTTTCCTCTGGAAAAAATGTAAGGTATAGCTTCATATAATTAAGCAATAAAATATTAGAAAATTTTTAATAAACAATTTACAAACTTTTAAAAAGCAGAAAGTAATTTTTATTTTCACTTAATAATTTTATTAAAAAGTATTTACATATCTAAACCAAACAAACTCCGAACAAACGTTGGCAAGAAAAGTATTACTAATTCTTATAAGAAAGCCCCTAAAAGTGCAATCAATTTAGAAGCCCAAAGTATCACTAGAAAAATGAACATCAAAAACAAAAGTGTGTCAATTGCCCCAGCCCACGCTTTTGTAACACTTAAAGAATATATCAGGAATAGAATATACCAAATTTTCAAAAAAAATTCCTTACAGGTTATTGGCTCGCTCAAAAAGTGAAATTGGACATGTAAGCAAAATTAAATTGCATTAAACTAATAATATTTTTAAAAATAAATTAAAATTACAATCAATTTAATAATTTACAAAAAACTCTAAAATAAGTATTAAAAATAAAAGACTTTTTTATTTTTAATACTTATTTTAGAAATATTAACGGACAAAAAAATATATAATAAACCAAATAAATAAAATAAACCAAATATATAAATAAACCAAATAAACCAAATATATAAAAATATATATAATAAACCAATAAAAAATGACTCAGTAAACAGCCAATCAATATAATCTTAATAAAATAAATTGTCATTTTAATTAACTAGATAAGTTGAATTAAGTAGATAAGTTTAATTAAGTAGATAAGTTAGTTATATATCGGAACGTTTGCTTATTAAGAGAAGCATTTTCCCACTTAATGTGGAGCACCTCTTTTTTTTTTATGTTTAGTTGGAGCAGTATCCAAAACCTAAAAAGAATTACAGTTAGATGTATTTAAATGTCTATAATTTATTATTCTTATGCATAGAATTTTTTTATTCAGTTTTAAAGGGCTTATTTATTATAGTCATTTCCCATTGCATTTTCTTAAACTGAAATTTTAAGCAAGTCTATTTTTTGTTGAATCTTTTCTACTTTTGTTAACCCTCTATTACTCACAGTAACCTTAGCTACAAAGCAAATTTAAATTATTTTAGCGTGACTAGCTTTACTTTTGACTTTTAAGAGTAATTCCTATTGTCTATCTTGATGTTTTACACAGCTAGGTTTTTCTTGATGTTTTATACTGCTAGCTTTTTCTTGAGTTTTACAATGCTAGCTTTTTTTTAATGCTTTACACTGCTAGCTTAGAGAACTCTTCAATACAAATTGACAATACAATTTTTTCGTAACAGTACATGTTATACCGTCTAAGTAACCCACAACAGTTTCTCTAAATCAGTTGTAGTTTATCCAATATCTTTGAAGAAAACAACTATATAATATTTAAGCAAAATCTTTAAGTGAAAACTGAAACAATAATATTTTTAAAGTTTGTCATTTTCAGACTCAAACATATCAGATTCAGACAGAAAAGCTCACAATGATGATGGTTGATGGTGAAGCTCATAACGCAGCACATGATGCTACTTTTGATACTGCAGCCCAACCACATACAAAATTAATTAAAAGAAATTTACTTTGCCGCCAAAGAGAGGTAGCAGACATCATTCCTAATAAGTCCGTTTTCTCTGGCTAGATTGCTCTTGTAAAAGACACTCAAAACCTTATAGCCCATTTTTAGGGAGATTGTTGATGAAAAAATGACGGATCACTTTGTTACGCAATTAAACATGTACAGTGTCCAGTGTAATATAAATCCGTTAAATTTGGATGATGGTGAATTAAGTAGTTTTATGGTTTTTCATTCATAGTTAGCATTGCTCAAATGCTTAAGGCCAGATGATACTGGGGGACAGAAACGAAAATGTGGGACAGACTTGGTAAGGTGACCGTATTATGAGTGAAAAACAATTTCTCCAAATCAAAGAAAGCTTTCACTGCAATAGTAATGAACGCGAGGTAAAATTAGGCACAAACTCTTTAAGGTACGGTCATTTATAAGCTTATTTGATAAAAAAAGTGACAAGTTTTGTGCCAAATGAAAATTTAAGCACTGATGAACAAATGATACCTTTCAAAGGCAGATCATCGCTAAACAATACAACCCAAAAAAACTTGAAAGATGGGGCTAAAAAATTTTTGCTATAGGAGTGATTCATAACTTTGAGTTCTACAACGGCAAAATACTGCGATGTCTAAATCAAACCGATATAGGACCAGATAATTTGTCTTTTTGAATATGCTACAAAAATATGATTTTCTAGTTGTAATTTGTATATGTATATATACTGAAAAGATATACTTCTAGTCAATGTATTGAGTAAAGATATACTTCTAATAAATGTATATATACTGTAAAGATATACTTCTAATCAATATATTGATTGCAGTAATTTTAATAAATAATTGAAGAATCATAATTTAATAAAATATTTTTATTCTATTATTTTCTGTTATGCCAATATGGCAACATACCATTAAAACAACTATTTTATTAAAATAAATTATTTTCCTTCTTACTTAAATTCTAAATTATTTTTCTTTCTTATTTAGCTCTATATCACTTAAAATATTCATAAAGATAATTTTTTACTATGAAAACGTAAAATGGCGTAATAGAGGGTTGGTAACTCAAATATAAAGTTATTCAGAAAGCTTCCATTCATTAGAATATACTCTAATTATACAAAAATGAAAACTAAAAAAATTGTTAAATAAATATTGCAAAGATGTTCCTACAAAATTAATTTTTACTGCTAATAAAATAAATACTTTAATTAAAAGACTTCCTACTTAAATAAACTACTTAAGTTTCTTGTTGTTTAAAAACTTTCTTGTATTGCCAGTTTTGTTTATATTGGAAAATTCTTCAGATATTTAATAACTAGAATAAATAAGCACTAAAAACTGTCACAAAATTCCATATATATATATATATATATATATATATATATATATATATATATATATATATATATATATATATATATATATATACATAATATATATATATATATATATATATATATATATATATATATATATATATATATATATATATATATATATATATATATATATATTTATATATATATATATTACTTAGACGGTGTAACATGTACTGCTGCGAAAAAATTGTATTGTCAAATTGAAGAGTTCTCTAAGCTAGCAGTGTAAAGCATCAAAAAAAAGCTAGCATTGTAAAATTCAAGAAAAAGCTAGCACTGTAAAACATCAAGACAAAGCTAGCTGTGTAAAACATTTAAATACATCAATTTATAATAAAAATCTAATTGTAACTCTCTTGATGTTTTGCATACTGCTCTAACCAATATAATCAAACATAAATTAACCATGAATTAAAATTTGATAGGAAAATCGTTCTCTTAGCAAACTTCTCATTATGTATTATCGATTTATTTAAAATAACAGTTTATTTTATTTTGATTAACAAAAACAACAAATTTTATACGAATATTCTATTACAAATTTGCTGTTTTCTCAGTTTTTTCTGCCCAAATTTTCACAAAGTTTTACTTTTAAGAGTTAATAAAATATTCCTGTTAGATTGCCAAAACAGCTCAAATCTTTTAAGATAAATTTTCATATGCCATAGGATAAGCATTTGGAATATACCTTTTTTATTATTGACCTCAAAACGTTAGCTTGAATAACGAGTTAAATAATACATACTATTGTCTCAGATGATCATTAATTTTACATAAAAACAATTTTTTCTCTTCTAAATGTCAAAATTAACTCACTTATTCTTTATACTTTATATATTCCACCACAGAATGCTAGATTAAACACCACACAATGCTAGATTTAAGATCCTCACATTTCTAGGTGAGGAAACTTTTTTTTTTTTTTAAAGTTTCCAGGAAAAAAATTTCTATAGAATTTCTATAAACTTTTGAAACATATGGCCTATAGAAATTCTATAAAATTTCAATAGAATTTCTATAGAATTTATACAGAATTTATATAGAATATCTATCTAACTAATATATATTAAATTAATATATATATTTATATAGAATATCTAATATCTAAAAAAGTTCTAAAGAACTTTCTACAGAAATTAACAGAGATGCTATAGACTATAGGCCGGGTGATTAAAAAAAAGCGATTGCTTTAACTCAGTAATGTCTGTTTTACGTGAATAAAAACTTTACCAGTTTTGCACAAATATTTATTTTCGTAAAGTTGAGCAATTTACTCAGCAATTGCTCAGCTTTACGCAAATAAAAACTTAAGCAAAATTGCTGAAATTTTTATTCACGTAAAGCTGACCAATTACTGAGTAAAAGCAATTAGTTTTTTTTTATTCACCCGGTCTCATATGTTTCAAAAGTTTATAGAAACTCTATAGAACTTTTTTTCCTGGGTTAAATAGCTATTTGTGTTTAGTTTTTTCTTGACGTTATTAAATATATATGCAGTCTATAATTCTAAAATTAACTCTTCTTTATTTTAATGTACATTATTAGATATATGTTCTGTTTTTATCTGTTTGTAAATGTGTTTTTTTTTTGTTATAAAGGCTCATATTACAGCTTTTATTAATTTTATACAAAAAATAAAAAAAATTGAAAATAATTTTTTTTTTTTTTATTTTCCTTTCTTTCTTTATACCTTTCTTTCCTTATATATAAAATTTTATTGAGTTTATTCAAAGCTAAAATTAATCAGACTAAAGTGTGTTTTGTTATTCCTTTAGAGTAATGAATAAATTTAAGAGAAATTTTATAAGAGAAACCAACCAATTAAAATGGAATGGTTCAGAAGATATAATAGACATAAAATGTAAGCAGCTAGAAATAGAAGTCAAGTTGCCAATAAACGCAGTTTGACTGCAATTAAATATGGAGAAATTCCGCTTTTCAAAAATCTTAGCACCTAACGCAACTAACAGCAATTAACAAATGGCATTTAATAATTAGCA